GAAGAGAGAGAGAAACTAATCTGGTATGTTCTCCCCCTCTAATTGCAGAAAAATATTTTCCTTCTCTAGGAGTGTACACACTAAGGTTTTCTGACTGGCTAACTGGATATATTAAGCACTGAGAATTATAAGTAGTTTGATTATCTGACCAACTCCTTGAATGTGCCTTAAAACTATTGTTCAGCAACTGAACTTTCAAATTAAGTAATCAAAAATGCTGAGATTCTTTGAGCCTTTAAATGAAACTGATGAATTTATTTTTATGGCAAAAACTTCCTGTTGGGTTTTTTAGGGAATATCGATGTGCATCTTGCAGAATAAAGGGCTCATTTGTTGTGTGGGGTTTAATGATTATGAAAATGAGTTGTCAGTACCTGTGTAGGGCATTTATAAAGAGGATCCTTTACAGAGCAAGAAGCTCCTAATTTTTAAGAGCATGATGTTGTTTTTCAGAGATTGGAAAGGACCTTGATACCTGGATGCAAGGAATCTGAGCTGTGGCATGTGTTGACATGAATTATTAAAAATAAGAGTAAAAATGGACACTTTAGCAAGCCATCTTTCCTATTTTTGTGCCTAGCTTCCCATTTTTAAATGAAAAGGCTTCCTCTCCTTCTCTGCAGGGTAAAACTCTTCTTTTTCCATTGGAGAAAACAGCGTGTCTCCTGGGAATGGGCACTGATGGTAAACACCATGGTGTCATGCCAAAGCAAAATGATGGGAGCTGCTTCTCTCCTGACTATTGTTTTTGCCATGTTAATGGTTGCCTGGAGAGGCAAAGGGGAAGTGAAACAACAAAAGAAGGCTTCTTAGCAGTTGTATGTAGACATCTTTATCAATATGAAGTAAGAAACCTAATGCTCCATGGTAATATTAAGTCAGTGATGAGAATTGGCCAGAACTCTGGGACTCCTGGCTCCAGCTTGGAAGGCAGGAAGCCAGAAGAGCTCTGGCAAGTGTTCTGCTCTCTGGGCTCCAGTGCCCCAGGTTGTTCAGTTGTGCCTTTACCAGGTTTATGGTCCTTACATTGCTTTGCTTTTTAAGTCTGAAGCAGCCTAGAAAAAGATTTAGGGGAGTAATGCCTTTGCTTTCTTATAGCAGGTTGCAGCAATATGGATTTTTCCACAATAGGAAAAGGGTGTAGAAAAACACTTTCTGTGAAACACACACAAAAAAATTGTACGTGCCTCTTGTGTGCTGGTGAACAGGTTTGGGGCATCAGTCTCTCTTCTCAGTGCCTTGGCTTCTGCTTAGCATTAGGGTTTTTAAATGTATTTACATTTGAAAATTGATACTAGTATGGCCTAATGTGATATGCTTAGGAAGAGTTTTACTCTTGGAGGATACAAGATAAGTGATTAATACGTTTTTCTAGATGCCTGTAAATTTTCTGATAGAATCTGAACTAAAGGCTTGCAGCTTACAGAACCGGAGATGGTTTAGAACTGGCTTCGTGAAATGCATTTGGTATCAGCTGTTGAGATTAGCTGAATTTCTTGCTAATCTGTTTCTCAGGGTGATTTAAAGGCTGGGATTTTATTTGGTTGGCTTTGCTTGTTTGTTTGTTTGTTTGTTGTTGGTTTGGTGAGGGTTTTGTGGTTTGTGGTTTTTTGTTGGTTTTTGGGTTTGTTTAGTTTTTTTAGGTAATCCTTTAATTTGCATTTCAAGCCACTTATTCTATTAGTCTTTGAACTCCATTATTTTCCTCTCTGCAAGACTGCTGAGTCCTTATGTCCATGACTGTGCTGTAATTTTTAATTACATAGAAAGCCAGAACATTGATTATCTCCTAATGTATTTTAAATAATTAAACAACAACAAAAACACAGTACTTGTCCACTGTTCTTCTAAATTGTGTTTCTTCCCATAGTGCTTGGATGTTACAGATCAGCTTTGACTTTTGTTTGTCTGGCTTTTCTGTAGTTTAAAAAAACCTTAAATATGCCAGATAAAAGTTTTTGTGGTAATGAGACAAGTTGATCAAGGTAACTGTGTAAGTTATGGAGTGTATAGAGGCCATAGAGCTGGCCAGGTGGTTGACTTGGCATGGGCCAGATTCTGAAAGAATTGGAAGCATTTTGCTCCAGGAAAAGGAATCCCTTTTTGTTTCTTTTGTGTTAAATGGGATGTACATGACCCCTTTCTCCTGTCAAAATGTCCTTGTGTTCTACTACCAAGTGACTGCAAAGATTTAATCACTTATTATTTAGGCTGCTGTCTTTGTGAAAGAAGCTGGAAGATACAAGAATACTCTCACTTCACAGCCAGTGTGTAAAAATATATTTTACAAATTTGTGTTACCTAAAGATGGTGCTTTAGTCCTAAGCCTCTTGCCTCACTTGTCGATACCACACCAAGTGTTGTCTTTGGTTACCATACAACAAACTTGTGCTTTCTTACAGTAGCTTGCAGTGACTCTCTGATCTTGTCTTGCTAATGAAGGTGATGTCTCTGCTCAGATCTGTTCTTGTAGAAACAGTTGCTAAAACAAGATCTCTGCCGTGCATTATGTTGTCCTTCTGTTTTGTAGTTGTGCATCTCTCATCATCTTTCTTTTTGCTCTGTCTTTCTGCTTTCCTGGGCCGTTATCTGAAGTCTCAGCTTATTTGCTTTGTCAGTAGACAAGCAATGTCTTCTTACACTTAATGTGTTAATTGGAATATTCTTGTTCTTGCTGATGTGTTTCTGTCTATTGAGAAGTTTCCTTTCTCTATAGGAAGTCTGGGTTTTTGATTAGTCACTTGTCCTTTTGCTTGAGGTTTATTGTTGCTGACTAAATTCAGTAACTGGAACACGTTGAGCTTCTATTTACAGTTACTAGAGTTGAGAAGATACATCTTTGTTGGGTGAGACTTCTTCAAGGTTTATTTCCTGTTCGTGGAGTCTAAGCACTGATTACAGAGGGTCCTTGAAATCGTTCTCTGTGGGACACTTAGGGCAAATTACTCCTCATGTAAGACAGATTGCAGACTGACAGGTGTACAAGAACAGGGTCAAACAGAAGAGAACTAAGTTACCACTTGTTTTTTTCTAGATGCTGTGTGGCAGCTGTGATGTTTCTTCTGGAGAGGGAAAACTTTAGTTGTTGCTGAAATTAGATGATTGTTGCCTGCTATATGAACATTTTTTGTTTAATTAATGTGGATTTTTTTAAGCATCAAGGGAATTTTCAAAGGTCACTTCTTGCTCTCTGACTGCTGGGCAATAACCCCTCAAGAACTGTACTGTAGCTGTTTACCTCTCGGTGTTACTCCTCAGGAAGGCTGGTTCCTGCATTGCAGATGGTGCTTTTAAGGCTTTTCCTGTGATCACTCTGTACATGGATGTGGTCGCACCTTTGCCTGGGCTCAGAGCACCTGCTCTAGGTTAAATAAAGCACTGGTCTGTGATGTTTTCAGCTATGTAGCTGGAAGTTTTGGAGGGTTTGGTGATTTTTTGATCCTACTCCTCCTCCCTGTTAGAGCTTCAAAGTAATCTAGGTCCTATTAAAGGCTTTTGATGCTCAAACATTTTTAAGAGTAGGTATCTTTCATAGCTATATCAGTCCATCAGTTCTGGTTTTTTACTACAGAATCCTCTTAAACAAATTTTGATTACCTAAAGAGGAGTGAGAGCAGTTAGAGCTTTTTCTGACTTAAATGGCTACTGACTATCACCCAAAAGGGGAGGAAGGAGACAACTTTTACTGTAAGTACCACAGATGTATTTTTAATGCTTTTTTCTGGAACTCTCTGGCAGTTGTTATGCTAGGCTCTGTTTGGAGCTTGCATGTTTTAAATTAAATATATAAAAATAGATGTTAGAAGGACACGTTATCTTTAGTACTTAGTGTTCTGCAGATGAAAAAAATCTAAGCCTTTTGCTGTACATAATTTTAGTGTGTAACTAAAGAATGCTGAAAACATGAAAAATGAAAACAAAACTCAAGCCGAAAATTTTACTGGAAATGGAAACTGTTGAAAAAATGGTGATCTGGGTGTTTGCTGTAAGAACTCCAGAATTTTGGGGAAATCCGATTTCCCAAAGAGCTTCAAAGTAATCTGGAACCGTCAGAAGCTTCTGATTTCCCAAGTGACAAACCTTGGTAGCCCCTAGAGGTTGTGAGAACCAATTCTTTCTATGAATGTTGTGCTCATATAGAAGTGTAGAGCATGTTGGAGAGCACGCGGGTTGGGACCTGTAATTCTGTGGTTTTATTCTGTGATTCTGTGGCTCCAATCTCACGCCAGTTAATCCAATTAAATAATTTTGAGCTAAGATAAACTGCAATGAACTGTTGTCTCTACTGTCTCTTAAAACACTTGCTCTTTTTTTCACTTGAAGTAGCTGTTCTATCTGTGATTTTTGTACTTTCTGTGAGCTACATTGAATGAGGGAAAGCTTTCGCTGTAGTTCCCATAGTCATAAAAAAGGAAGTTTGTTCATATAAGTTATAGGGATGTTCCAGGCACTGCCTGTCCTGTTTTACTGATGATCACTGATCATGTATCATCCTGGTTTTATTAAATATTTCATTTTCTTGGCATGAAAAGATAAAAGGGCAGTTTTCTGCAACAAATTTGACAATACTGGGCTTATGCATATGTGAGTATAATGGAGATGGAATTCAGGTGTGTGAGAGATTCTGCCTGTCCCCACAGTAAAGAGGTAATTTCTGCACATGCAATATTTAATCATACCTTGTGGAATGGGCACTCTGGAACAAGTGATTCTGCTTGTGGCTTACATACCCTGAGAGAACAAGAAAAGCTGGCATGTGGATACTCAGTCTCAGGAGAGGAATGTATCTGTAGGAGGGAATGCAGTGAGCTTGTGTGCTCTCTGTACAGAGATTTAAATTAAAACCAGCAATCTTGCATCCCCCTGCTACTTCCACTGTAGACCATCAAGCTACAGAGTTTTGTTTTCTTGCCAGAGTGAATGTTAAAGTAGTGTTTGTACAGAAATGCTTTTCTTATAAAGATGTGCTTTGAAGAGACTGAAGATGATGAGAACTGAAGTCACATACTCAAACTGATTTAGGTTTTATTTATTTCCCTCTTCCTTAGGCTACAGTTCTGCATGAGTCATTTTTCATGGAATGAAGTTGCAGTTGCCACCATGGCAACCGTGGAGTTGGGGTTAAAGTAGAGAAGTCTTTGGAGGAGAGGAATTAATATAAATTTATAAGATATTGCTTGCATAAATAACAGAAAACAGTAGTATTTATACCCTCTTACAGCACAGTTATCTAGAATAATACATACAGCAATGCTATACACAGACACGGCTGCAGTCTCACTATACGTAGCTGACTTGTTCTTCTGTTTTATCGACTTCGTTCTCGGTGAGCAGCAGGGTGTCCAGCAGAATGGCCGATGATGCCTGGATGGGTGAGCTCCTCAGCCTCATTGGGCTCTGGTACATAATGGGGTTAATCCCGTTTCTCATCCCATTCATGACGAAGAGCTTGGAATTTTCTGCCACAGAGCTTCTGAAAGAGATCCTGCTGGAGCGCTTCCGCAGGGCCTTGATAGGCTTTGTGGTCCGATAGTTGCAAGTGATATACCTGCTGAAAGCCTCCCTAAATGTTTTGTTGAAGAGTGTATATACAAGAGGGTTCACTCCTGAGGATACATATCCTATCCAAACAAATATCTCCAAAAGCTTTTGGAAAACCTCCTTGTTGCAGGAGTTGCACAGAACTGAACTTATGTTTGTTATGAAAAATGGACACCACATCAACAGGAAAAGAAAAAATACAATCCCCAGGACTTTTGATGCCCTTTGCTCGTTGGTTATGGTTTGCATGGACTTCCTCCCAATTGTAGATGTCCTGCAGAGAGGCATATCACTGGACAAGGTCTGGTCCTTCCTGGAGCCATTTAGCATGGCCACCTTCTCTGGTGAGGAGGCAGGTGTCGTGTCACGCTGGAACACTGTGGACACCGTTGACCAAGTGAAGCGCTGGGGCGGTTTGTTGATCAAATAGGCCTTCTTGCGCAGCACTTGGATTGTCAGAAAATAGGTGACGATCATGATAGCGAGGGGGATGAAGAACGCAGCCACTGAGCCGTACAGAATGAAGTCATGAAAGCGATCAGGCATCAGGACACACGTGATGTTTGTGGAGTTACTGTTTCCATCTTCGATGCCTCTGATAGGGACGGGGATTGCAATGCCTACAGGAGAAAAAACAAGTACTTCAGCGTATGGTAGTGGCTTGTGATCTCTTCATTGGGTCTGGAGCCTCGGGGTTTCTAAAGAAAGGTAATTCCTGAGCTCTGGAGCAAGCACTGGGTGACAGACGCCACGTGAGTTGCTGAGAGCATCACGTGGGTAATTGGGCAAACAGTACTTGTAAGACTTGGCAAGCTGAGCTTTAAGAGTGCCCTTTCTAAGGACATTGGGCCTAACCCTTAGCGATTGAGGAAGTGGTATAAAGTTGCCAACTTTTCAAGTGTAGAACATGTGAATTGCTTTCACTCTAGTTGTTAGAATTAGTATGGCTTTTTCCTCCAGTAAAATCTGTTTCCCTAATGCCATCTGCTATTTTTTTTTCTCCTCCAGGGTAACCTTTGCACTTTTTGAAAGGCAGTTTTGTAAATACATAAATCTTGTCTTTCCCTCTTAAATTGAGTGACTGGACACAGACAGCTGATTTTTTTTCACTCTGCTTGACTCTTTCATATATACAAGTAGTTAAATAGTTGCCAGAATTATGCAGTATGTGTTTGAGATGGATTTGTTGTTTAAAGTCTCCTGCATATTTAGGAGTGTTTAAATGAGGGTGGCTAGCTCTGTAATTCACCGCTCGTTTAAAAAAATGTTAGCAGTCTTGTCTTTTAAATGAATTTTTTATAACCACTAAATTACAGTCAGCACTTCATTTGCCAGCAGTCTGACATTACAACAAAAACAACAGGTTCCTTGCTGTCTGGTGAAGGTTATTTGTGCTGTTTTCTGATACCACTTAATGAGATCTAGGGATTTACTGTATTCCTCTGCTGCTCTGCTTACCGAAGTTGGTTGAAGGCAGTGAGAAAAATGGGTTACCCTTCAGCATCTTGATCCCTTTCTCAATTAGAGGCACACCTTCAGATACAGGAAACATTTAAAATGAGGATTGAACCAAATTAACCTTTGATTTGGAGAACCTGGCTCAGCTGCAGAGTGGTTTTGTGTTAGATAAAAAGAAATTGAAAAGTACAGCAGTGGTTAATGACAATAAGTCAGGCATTAAAAGGTCAACTCATAAGTGTCTTGTCATACTAAGTTTTCTTTTTTTCATTATTTTTTTTTAAAGTCAGAAATTTTGGGTTTAGGCACATTTGCCTCAGCAAAAAAGGTGGATGTACCTATTCTCTTATGCATCATTGGCCTTAATAATGAGAATAATTTTGTTTTCTCTTGCACACAGAGCATACAGCACTATAGCTGCCCGCAGAGTGCATTAAGTTATTTGAATTAAATGTTTTCACGTTTGGCAGATTTATTGTTTCAAGCATTAAAGACAGGTGAGGTGTTGCGTGCACATAACAGAGATGCTAATATCATAAAGGTTTATACATTGTTATCCTTTATATAAACTGTTGAATGTTTGTTGTTTGGGCTTTTTTTTTGGTTAGATAATAACCTTTCTATATGTTGTATTGGCAGTGGGGATGTTCCCAGCCACTGATTTAGCCTTCGGTCTTTGGTATAAGTAATTAAAACCTTTCTGTACTTGTTTCATGGGGCAATTGTAGGCACAGATTTTACCAGCATCTAATCAAGGCTTAAAACTGTGTTTGGGACAGAATATATCACCACAGGAACATGAATCTTGCTTTCCTGGGAGACCTGCTGTGGATGTGGATATGGTCTTCTGGTTTTGGAACTTTTAGGACCATGAAGAAAAGCGATGATCATCCTGACTCAATCCTTGGCCATTGAGTGGCAAGCCTTATAAGGTGCAGCAGTTCAGGCAGGTGTTTGTGATGTATCTGTGTATGATCCAAGAGGTGGATTTAGGCCAGCCTGGGTGTTGGGGTTTGCTAATCAATAACACTTGACTAAATTTTCCATTTTGCCCAGTTTTCACCTATTGCTTTAGACATGAAAAGCTTCTGTGTTCCTTTTCCAGTCTCCAGGTCTCACATACCTATTGAAATGAGCCAAACCACGATGATTTTGATGATTGTTGTAGCCCATGAGTTGTACTGACTAGCCTGGATTGGCTTTTTTATCGCAATGTAGCGGTCTAGTGAGATGGCACAGAGGTGCATGATGGAAGCTGTGGAAAAGAGGACATCAAGGAACAGCCAGACAGGACACAAGGCAGTTGGTAAAGGCCAGGTATTGTCTGAAAGAGAACAGAAAACTCATTAGAATCTGAGCTTTTTGAGAATTTTCAGTGTGTGATTTTCCTATGGCATCAGTGCCTTTGAGAAGTTCATAGGACTACAGGAACTGAGCTTTGTCACTGCCTCAGGTGGATTCTGTCTTACGTTTTAGTTAACTCTTAACTGCCAGGGTTGCTGCCGTTGTATTGATTGTATTGATCATCGTATTGCCTTTCCCTGTCTTTTTGTCCCTTTTAGATCAGAAGTTCTTTGTGGCAAGAACTCTGGATTAAAAAGTTTATGAAAAATGGGCCAGGACTGTTTAATTCTTGCCTGCCCGCTGCTAAGTGATTATTTTCAGCTGTTTCTCCTTGGTAGTCCTGTGATTCAAGGTTCTATTAAATGGAGAAGATAATGGGTCATAACCAGTGTATTAGTCAGTCATTGTAAAATCATGGCTGAACCTGAGCGGTGATTTTGAAGAGTCTGGTTCACACAGTTTTAAAATGAGTTTGCTGTGTCACTTGAGCAGATACAGTTGAGCACTAAAGTGGCAAAGCAGGGCTGTTCTGTCTCAGTAATGATTCATAAAAATTGAATGCTTTCATGAGAGTCCTTTTTTTTTCCTCCCCCAAGAGGCATGGCTTGGATTTTAGGTCTGGCATCCTGTTTCTTACGGTAGTTATCTGTCTTTAATGTTAATCTTTATAGCACACATAGGGTCTGTCAACTGCATTGTGTCCAAGGTAAAGGTTTCATAGTGTTCAGCTTTTCTAAAAGGATCATATTTTTGAGAGCTGTGTCTCCTCTGGTAATGTCTACAATACCAAATGAACTTAATGAAACTCTGATTTTTTATTTTTAATTGGTTTATTTTCACTCGTTTGTCTTGCAGTCCAATGATAGCAGTGTTCAGTTTGGTGTGCACTTAGTGTTGTGTGTCTATAGGGATGTTCTGTAGTCCTCAGGAACAGTATGTGAACAAGGAATTTTTTTCGGGTTTTAATGGTAGAAGTTGATCTACTAGACATATTCTCCTCCCTTATAAAATTCAACCATGCTCAGTCAGTGGGCACATTAATAGTATAGCCAGGGAAATCAGCTCTTTGTTGAATGATCATTAAGGGGGAAAAAAAGACATTTCTAATAGATTGATTTTAATTTCCTTGCTTGGAATAAATAGATCTGCGTGCTGAGAGTGCCAAATGAGCTGGACTTTTCTAATTTCCAGCCTTATCAATGTGGTAACATTGCAGTAGTTTGAGATTAAAACATTTTTTCTCAATGTGACTGATAGATAGATGTTATAATGATGTTACCTTGGCTTGAATTATAAGCTCCAGAGTACGGAAAATTTTGTAAAGACACACATAACAAGTACTTGTCTGCACTGTTACCTGTGCTGGGACACCTTCTGTGTTAAACAAAGGGAACAGATAGAAGGAGCCCTGAACTGATCCTCAGCCATCCCAAAGCATAGGACTTCACCTGAGGATGACGTAGGCAGTGAGGCAGAAGGTAAAGAGGCAGTCTGTTTTCAATTTCTTAACCAGGTAGATTTTAGTACCTACCATACCTGTTTCCTAAAAATAGATTTCGTAGTTGAAATTATGCTTCAGAAAAATTACTCTTGTCAGGCAGGAATGAGAAAGTGGTAATTAGTATATTAGGAAACGCTTACTCATTTTTAATTTTGGTGTCTGCACTTTGAGCTGGCAGTAAGGTGTGGTGCATTTCTGAAATGGATTTCCTTTAAAAAGGAAAGCCAAAATGTATTCTGGCTCATGTAACCAGCTCTAATAATAATAATAATAAAAAAAGAAACAGTTAAAAGAAATAACTGATTTGATGGGCTTGAAACATTTTTGCTCACTCCAGAAAATTAAGACAACTTCTTCTGACTTTGTGATGAAGGATTAGTTAAGATAAAATATGAACAATGGGAAGTGTGGTGTACAACTTGGAGGATGGCAGATAACACAGCTGGACTTCAAGTGAGCAGCTGATACTTCTTTTGGGGAGTACTTGCATGCCACTCCCTGGATTAAAACTGTTTTGTGTTCTGGAGAATCACATTGTGATAAATTCTTTCATTTTTTATTTAATTTACTGTTTGCAGAAGAAAACCCTCAAAAGCCTTGCAACAAAAGGCCCTTTTCCTTCATTTAAATATAATTCCATTTAAACACTGTTCTGATGCAAAGCAATCCTGTGTGTTTTTGAGTTGTAAGATCTTTTGTTAGTTGCCAAGTGCAACTGAACAGAGCAACCTTTATATTTTCTTTACTTTTGTCTAGTTTTGATCCAGGTGCTGAAGGCAGTAAGTTACCACATTCATGATTATGGCATTATGTCCTACTATATTTGCATGTATGAGATGTTTTTTTCCAAACAAAATCAAAGTAGACTTTAAATGCAGCAGCTGATAAGGGCTGATAAGTTCTGATAAAGACTGAAGATTATGGTTATTATTTAAATGAAACAAATATCATGAAACTGATACTTCAAAGTCCAGAAGAGTCACATATTTGTCTAGGATTCATTCTGAGGTGTACTTTGCTATAGCTTACTTTGATTTGTTGGTTACACCTGTGTTAGAAACTCTGTACCTGGTGTTTGAGGGACTGCTCTGGGCTGAGTTATTGTGCTTTCCTGGTGTTGGTGTCTATCACAATTGGCTTGGGAATGGGGAAAAGGTGGAATAATAATTTCCCTTTAGGACTCAGAAAGCATCTCTGACCCTTGAATGTGATGGTGACCTGCTTGGTTGTTGTCCTGATTTATAACTCAGAAGGTAAAATGAGTGTGTCCTGCCAAGAGGTGATGCAAAGCAGGTCATGCTTAGTTTGGACTGTTACAAGTTCTGATTCTCCTATTATAGATCCACATTGTCAGAGCAGACCAGAGCATTTACTGGGTTGACTGAGATTCTCCATCCCTGAGATTCTCTTTGGAACTGAAATGCTGATGTAAAGAAGCTAGGTAGGGGATTGGATTTTTTAAAACTTACTTTTAAATGCCTTGGTTACCCAGTAAATGTACCTGTCTGAAAACTTGCCTGGTTTCTCCAGTTATCAGGTGGTATAAGTTAAAAAGAAATTCTTTCTTTCTACAAACCTTGCCTCATATCCTCCAAGCACTTCAACAGTGCTGCCGTTGCAGATTTTCCTTATTTTGAGTCAAAACAAGATAGAATACATGCTCTAAGATTTGCCTTGCACCTTCAGAGAAGTAAGATGAGCTTTTACTGCAACTGTCTACCCTTGATTAATCTTTATTTAAGAAAAGCTTTATTTATAGGAAATACCTTAGAAATGTGTAATCCTTAAAACAAAGTACAGTGTAGAAGAGCTGTTCTTGTTGTAAGCCAAAAGGTTTTTGGAAAGCTTGAGAGAAAGCACTACTTGTGTACATGTATAAGCATGATTAAGAGAGCTCTTTAAATAGACTTAGAAACCGTTTGTTCTGCTGTAAGGGCTGCAGAAATGTGTTACCTGTAAAGAAAGGGCTGTGTTGCTGTTAGATAATAATGCTTTTGCTGAGATGGAAATGAATACTTTCAGCCACCAACTCATTTAATCCTAAACTTCAGCCTTCTCATCGGGGGGATGTGTGTCTGTAGCTGTGTGTGGTGTTCACACTCATGTCACTATTGGGCTCTGTGGGTTGCCAAGGCTTTGTGTCTCCAGGCTGGTCTCTAGTTTTTTTAATTTAACCAAAGTAATGCTTTGGGGTTTTTTAATTATACTTGCTTTCTGAGAAATAAACCTTTGTTTTCTTACTTACTGTCACTTATCTTTATATTTAGGATTTTGGATAGTAGCTGTTGATTAAAGTAGTTTCCTCTGGTAGTTTGCACAAGCAAGAAAGGAAGATTTGTGGTTGTGGTTCATCATCAGTAATGGGAGAAGATGAAGACAGCGATTGCTTGTGACAGATTAAAATAATGGTTTGCAGCCTAGGAAGAGCAGCATTACCTCCTGATTTTAAGTTGATGACTACCAGGAGTAGAGAATATATTTTAAAATACGGTACATGTACTATCTCCAAGTAATCGATTGCCCACCAAGCCATGGAAATCAGACTTCTTCCTGGTGCAGGCTTTGCAAATGGGAGCATTTCTCAAGTTTATTTGCTATTTTCACTATCCAGTGAATAGCAACATTTTTACTTTCCTTGTGTAATTCTGAGTGTTAGAAATTCGGGTAACTGTTTTGAAAGCTGGATTTCAGAGAATGAAATTATCTCCTAGTGGACCCTTTTTTTTTTTTTTTTTTTTTTTTTAGAAATGAGAAGAATTTAGCAAGGAATAAAAGCTATGAAATGTTTATGTATTCTGACACTTACGCTTCTAAATTAAAATTGCTGTGTGTGCTCGTACCAGAGTACATTTTGGTTGCTCTGCTGAGAATAAATAATGTGCCGAGCATGGCATTACACCTGGGAGTGAGTTACAGATTAATTTATTTACTTGTTTTTAAAAGGGTCAGCTCTTTGTTACAGGACAATGTATTTCTGAAGATTTTTTGGTAAGTGTATCGGTATCTGTAGCAGGTTTTGAACATCCTGTGACACATTAATTTGTGCAGTCAGGATCTTTGTGTGACTGCACTTTATTTCACACCTTTCCCCTCAAATATTCCCCACATAATTAGATATCAGTCCCAAATCGGAAGCATAATATTTGTACTCAGTATCTGGAAGCTGCACCCGGCTCTCTCATTATTGTGGAAACATTCCCGTGTGGAAGTGCCAGGAGGCTGGATTTAGTTTGCTGTCTGGCTATCAATGACTATTCTTTGTTCAAGTAGTTATCTGGCTAATGTAGCTTCAAGATTTAGACTTGCCATGTATTTAAAGGTCTGTTCTAGCTTCATTCCAGTAACTCCTCGTGTTTTGCTCACACTTTGAACTTCTATAAACACCTCGACATCTTCTGCCAGTCGGTGAAGAGGCAAAGCAGTTTTCTGGTTGCCTGCCAAAGGGAGACTTATATGTGAGAAATTTGAGTTTTAACCACTGTTATGTGGAAGGTGGGTTGCAGTCTTCATTAATTATAACTGATTTTACTACCTTCTGGTACATTTCCTGCATCATGAAAGATGTTTTTGTTTGACTTCTGAATTAAGATTCCTAGCGTACTTTAAACTGTTGTAACCAGGGCATAGCATTGGATTAACTGAGAGATTAAGGAGCAATAGTCTCTTTATAAAGTTGTAAAGAAAAGATTTTTTAGTCTAGCAGAAGAAAATAATTATATGTAAAAAAAAATCCAAACCATAAAAATTCCTCCACCACCAAAATAAGAACTCCACAAAATGCAGAATTTACCTTCCCTTTATGTTGATTGCAGGTCAATACTAGTACTTGTTATGGTTAGTAATTTTATTATTAACGAGACCTGTGGCAGGAATTAAGCAGTTACAGTATCTGTGTGTATGTAAATGCTTATCTGCTCCTTGCCTCCTCACACATACTTGACATACCAAGGTTTTCCATAAGTGACTGGTTTTTCTGAGTTAAAAGTCACTGTCCTGGTTATGTACATTCAGTTTTCTTTTTAGAAACTGCTGCTTGAAAAAACTATTTTACTATCTCAACACTGAATTCTGAGCTCCAATTTACATTTCTGTTTAGGGAGAAGCAGTCTGTATTTACAGAAATTAATTCTCAAGGCATTTAGTGATTTGTTAATAAACATTTGTTTATAAAGTGATAGCAGTTTTCTGCAGCAAACAAAAGCTACTGATGGCCTTTCTGAAATAAAGTTTATGATTGTGTTTGCTTGTTGCTCTGGCAACTCTTAGAGTCTAGCCTAGGAAAAATGAACTCCTGCAGCCTTTTGTTATCTAGGGCCCAGTGGTATCTATACCTTAAAGATAATGATGGAAATCTATAAGTGTATTGAAAAACCTATCTTATTGGGGTTTTTTTTCCATTTATGATATGAAAATAAACCATTTAAAATGTATTCTTAAAGAAACCTTAAGAGTAAAAGAGAGAGACTTTCCCATGGAGCTGCCTCTGATTAGTTGTCGGAAGCAATATCTGAAGTAAAGCTGGGCATGAGAGACTTCGGAAAAATCATTCTTGTTCTGTAAGGACTAGTGGGAAAGAAAATGACACACCCAGTGTATGTTTAGGTTAAAAAAACCCTATTTTATTTCATATGAAACAGACTAAATGACAAATCTGAATTTCAAACATTAGGTACATGGATTGAGGCTTCCTTGGCTTGACAGATGAGTTAATTCTTTGTGATGCTTTACAAACCTTCTGCTTTCCCAAGGGTGGGAGAAAATGGATTTCTCTGAAACTGGTACTGGTAAAGTTCACCTGATGGTGCCAGGGACCATCTCTGCTTATGGAGCTTGGAGTCAATACCCAGGTAAAATCAGGTGCCTGACTCCTAGAAAGTTCAAAACCTGTTCAGTGTCCTGAACAGATACTTAGTCTTAATTTCAAGTTTTTTAAGAGAAGACTGCCTGCAATTAGTATAATATCCACTACAACAAATACCAGCATTGTGCTGATGTTGTTAAAAATTATATTACACTGTACAAAATGTAATTTCCTGTGTCCAGCTCCTATTTAAATCTGTTCTAAGTCTTGGGTGATTTTTGAATGGTTTGTTTCAAAGGAAGGAATATGCACGGTGGTTCTGCTTCCCATAAAGATATTAAGCTCTATTAAGATGAGAGGGAGAAAAGATTTAGCAGCCCTCAAGCAAGTGATTTTTAAAATTGTAATGGTGGAAAGCAAACAGTTTTTCTGTTTAAATTAGACCTCCCCAAATTGCACCCCAAATGCAAACCTGATGAAACAAACATGCTGTACTTACCAAATAATATTATGAGGAGGGCAATGGGCATCACAAACAGACCCACGAGCAAATCTGCCACCGCCAAGGACGTCAAAAAGTAGTTGGTAGCATATTGCAACTTTTTCTCCAGGGACACGGCCAGTATGACAAGTATGTTCCCCCCAATGGTGGGGATTATCACCAGGAGGATCAGCAACGCTGCCCAGCGCACTTTGTTTCCTTGTTCGTCACTTAGGTCGTCCTGCTTGGGTGCTCCTGTTACTGAGAGAGCCGACAAAGATCCATTGCCAGCTCCAAACCCGTTCAAGAAATGTAAAGGATGGGACATTTTTGTGCCCAGCAGAACGCGTTCAGGAGCTGTGTTTTGCGCAGGAATTGTGTACGGTTGAAGAGTTCACTGTTCCTCTCTGGTCCAGGATGGTCCTGAAGAAAGGCCAGCATGGTCAGTATAGTGAACTGGTCATCTGCTATTTTCAGATACTGTGACCATATCCGAGCTGGTATCCAATTTTTTTATCCTGTGCCTTGCTGAGTGCAAAATAGGCTTAAAAATGAAAGTCCTGTCTTGTGTCCATCTCTGGTTGGTAGGGTTCTGTGGTCTGGTCTCCCCTTTATAGCGAGGTTCAAGTTTCAGAAGATTATAGGGAAAAATTCAGTAGCTGTGAAAAGCAAGCAGTGCATTAGCTTCCTTTTCTTTTTCTTTCTTTTTACAGCAGTAAAAAAGTGATAGAAGAATCTCAAAGCCAAACAGTGCTGTTTAGATGCAGTGTATGTAGGTTTGCTCTTTGTGAGTACAAACTGATGCAAAGGCAGATGCTCGAGTTGTGTGTTTGCAACTCCTCCTCTCCTGAGTGTCTTGTCTCCAGCAGCGTGTGCGTAGGCAGGCAGCAGTTCCCATATTTCCCCTTATTAAGAATCCTGTTTCTCCACAGAGGGTAACCCAAAAATACCTTCAGAAATTATGTATGAGATTTCCGTTTTAATCTCTACAGTTCCTAATTTATCAGGTGAGGGTCAGGAAGCTGCAGACAATAAAACACTGGTGACAGTCTCAAGGGGACCGTAAAGATTTATCGAACTGAGACATCTAAATTTACCCATTACTTGAAGGGGTGGGGGTGAGTAAAATGCTTGTTTTTGTAATCTGAGCAGGGCTTTTATTAAGCACAGCCTGTTCTCTTCCTTTCTCTTTCTTTCTTTCTCTGTCTCTTCTGTGTCTCTCTCAACTCTGCTAAAGACTTAAGACTTGCATTTCCCCCTTCAAGCAGAGACTCAAAACAGCTGCTCCAGCATTAAACTGAGCAAATTCTCAGTTACTGAGAAGATTTGAGTGTTGCAATATTCAGCTGAAGAAAACCTTACCTCATTCTCTTTTTAGCAGAGTTCACTTTGCATCCAGGAAGATCCTTGGTAATTTTCTTTTTCGTCACAGGGTGAATTTTGAGATTTTTCACTACTTTCTGGAAAACAAGTTGATCCTTGCTTTTTGCTGTTATAATATTTCTGAAGCTTATTTCTTCATGTGCTTTTGTTTAGCACTTATATTTCTTCTATCACCAAAATGAAGAGTTTGTATTTTGGAAAATTAGTATTTCTCACCAAGATATTTTCTCCAACTCTGAAATCGAGAGGAATCTTTCTTACCACATTTAAAAAAAGATAGAAATAAGGTTGTGTTCTTTTTTGCTGTTCTTTCTCTTCCATCCTTTGTTGATTTTACTTTAGTGATGAGCAGAGTCTGTGTGCAGTTTTCTCTTTGTTCCTAAGCAAAGCTCGCAGTTTTGTTGATTGACTCATTCCAGCGTATCCAGCTTGAAAAGCAGGGAAGTGAGTGAGTGGGGGGTTTGGCTGGAAAAAAGCCGGAGCGGGTTAATTGATTCAGTGCTCCAGTGCTATCATGTGTGCTCCGTGTGGCTGTTGTGTCTCTGCACCACAGTGCGTGTCTGTGTCTGTAGGTGTGTGTGCTGCTCACTCGCTGGGCTCTCTTGCTTTTTGGACAGATGAACAGTTAACCCTAAAAGGTTCTGCTGCCCTGTAAACACTCCAAGTTTTTTCTTACCTAATTTTGTAAAAGTATTGTCTAGAACACTGTTTTAAGCATGTGCACTGTTACTTTAAAACTTCCTTCATGCAGCTGCTTTTTATTATCTGGAGTGTTCTCGTTTGTTACCTTTCAACTTTCAGGCAGATCTGTGTATTGTCTCTATCATCATCTTACAGTTCTGCATTAAAATGGAAATAGAGTTCACTTCCAAGGACATTAGCTGCAAAATTGGATAATAATTCCTTTAGTTTAAGGCCAGAAGAGACCATGAGATCACGGTCTGCACCCCTGTATGACACCAGCCATTACATTCCATAAATTGCTAGTGCTCACCAGCCTTGAGCTGGAAATCAGGTCCTCAGTGAACTGTGAATCAAAAAATTCTTATCTTTAGGATGCAGTTACTGGGGGGCCAAAGAAAGAAAGCTGCTGCCAGAAATTAATAGAAATACTTTACTTGAAGTGTGTTCAGATAATACAAGAGATTTTTCAGTAGTTTTCACTTCCTTATTTTTCCTGTTTAAAGGAAACTTTGAATAAGATTACATGCTGTATTCATTTACAATTGACTGTTGATATTTTTATTATTCAGAGAAGTATATATTAGAAAAATAAGGATTAATCCAGCTGTGGTAGTTCTGTTTTCTTATCTGGCCACCTCACTGTTGTCACCCCTGACAGTACGGAGGGAGTAGAGCACATGAAAACATGTAAAAAGTGAAATGAGACAGGAAAATACCTTATTTGGCTAATGAGCATTTGGATTCAGATTTTCTTAAGCTCTGCTATGTCTAATCAACTTCTGGTTTATATTTTATAAATCTTAAAGGCTCTTCTGATTTTAATCTAACTGTACTTGAAATCTTTACCAAAATTTTCATTGTATTAAACACAGGCAGTGTTCACTCTTCCTGATTGTACAGATGAAGCTTTGTTTTGGTCATCGTTGTCACTTGAACTGGTTTTTTTACATTGTTGAAAGGTAGCTGGAATTATGGCCACTTGTGCAGCTGGAGCTATTGGCAGTGTATCTGAACAGTGTTCCAGAGTAAACCCTCCAAAGTATAGTAAAAGATTAATCATTTCTCTTCAGTAGGTGTATGTCACATGCAGATCTTCATGTCACATCTCTGAATTTAAAGAACACAAAAATTCTGTAGGAAAAAAAAAATAGATAATGCATCTATCGGGACCATCTGCTAATCATCAGCATCAGTTACTGCTGCAGGCCTGTGTCGGAGCTGAACCATTATATTGCAAGAGTTTTATGGGGGTTTTTTACTTTTAACATTTTCTCTTTCACCATGCAGCAGACTCTATCCCTCCATCACTTCAGAGTGGAGAAAGTACCAGAGTTATAGAAGTGTAATTTTGTCAACTTGAGTTCTGTATTACCTCTTAATGCATTTTGTTCACAGATCTTACCATCCAAGGAGCAGCACTGTTGGCTGCTGCAGGAAAGGGTTGTTTTGGTCTAAGTGAAAATCAAGTGTTTCTGCTTCTCTGGAATGCCTCAGGGGATGTTATAATGTCACCTATATGGAAAAATCATCTTTTAGCCACTAGAATGACTAAATTAGATTGGGAAGAGGGAGGCATCTTGATGAAGCACCAGCTGCACTGTTACTTGCAGATTGTTCTGATTAAAGCTGTTGAATGCATCCATATCTAATTGAAAAGGAAATTATTTCTTTAGATACAGATAAAACAGTTATCTTAGGAACTTGCAGAGGAAGATGATATCAGTTTAGTGGCATGTAGGCTTGCATGTCATATATACCTGCTTGGTGCATTGTTTAATTTTAAAGAGCTAGAAAACTTATCTGCCTTTTGTGATGTTTTTTGGACTTTCCCAGGTTTGAATCATTTCTGAGAAACACATCCTCCTCTATATCTGTTTAAGATCTGCATCAGGTCTTTCACTGTGTTGTATCTCTGCCTGCTTCTGGCCAAGCTTTTTGTTCACTCTGCTGTCCTACCCCCATATCCAGCTCTTCTGTGTTAATGATGATAAACCTTAGACCCACTCCTGCTCCACTGTAACCAGAATATTTGAACCGTGCATGGATACTACTTTTGTTTCCCACTCCTTGCTGCTCCTTCTGTTTTCAAATTGCCAGGGCTATTTTATTTGTGTGAGCTGTCCCTGGTGAGTGTTGTTCAGGCAGTGCATATCCCTCAAGTTCACCTGCTGTGCCTGTGGGCAGCGCTCAGTGTCAACCTCCTGCCAGTGGGAGGCTCCTACAAGTTCTTGCTTAGACACCTAGGAGGCATTTCAGAGAAGATCATTATGGAGAAGGAGGCTTTGCTGCACACGAGATAGTTGTAGGAAATTCCTGGCTTGGGAATAATTGGGGTCATTTTTGTCCAAAGAGGGAGACGGGATGTTTAGTCTACACTGAAATATATTGGTTTGCTGCATTTTAATCTGCAGGTTTTCAATCTTCTGTGTGTTCCCCCCTCTGCTGCTCCTCGCTCCTTCAGAAATGGCTGAGAATTGTGCAGTTAGATATCTGCATTCCTCCTTTATTAACTCATTCATGGATGAAATTAAACTTTGTTAAGCTTTTTTTTCTCTAAATCATCACTAAACTAATAAAGCAACTTGTGGAAATAGTTCTGTGTAAAATGATTAATTCATGACTAATAATTTAGAAACTTATAAATATTTAGAATCTTTTGAAATATAACTGAGGACACTTAATGAGGAATTTAGAAGATATATTTGACATTGTTCTTCAATTCTCTGACATTTCATTTTTCAATGAGTTGTATGGTCCTTAAATATTTAGAAAAAAAATAAATGAATGTTAGTGATGCTTTCATTTTTAGTCTCAATAACAAGACCAATGTGGTGCATTTTTTCAGTGTTCTGTTTATTTACTTAATGATGCTACCTTATATATATATGCAGGGTTTCATGTTTAAATATTGCTGAAATATAAAGAAAAATTGCAGTAATGCTTTAACCTTCAAGACGTTCAACTTAAAGTATGGGAGATAAACTGCACGAAGGTATTTGAATGTGATTCTAACTGGGCTGTGATCTAAGAAACTTCAAGTGGAATATGCTCCAAGATATAGGAGTCTAAGTTTTTAGTTTGTCCTGTTACATGTCTCTTGGGAAACAAAGATTAAAGTGGATTACTGAACAGAGTTGATGCACCCAACAGTGTTCCACAACTTTCAGCAGCCCAATAAGGCTCTTGTAGGCAGAGCCTACTGAGGAATGTGATATCTGCAGATGTTGCAGATGTAATGACCTTTAAAAAAACAAAACAAAACAAAAAACAGTATTATAGACTCCTAATAGTGCTACAGTAAGAAATGTATCTTGGTGAAAAGGCAATGCAATGTCATGGTTCTCTGCAAAATATGGAGAACCTTCCGTGGTCAACACCATGGATTGAAAGGGCAACTCACTGACTGCCTTCTGCGTCCAGCTGAGCTGGGTGGGTTTGTTCACATTAATCTGTCTTAGTAAGAATCAACATCCTGGTTTTCATTTTGTTAAGTTTTGCACTAGAGGCTTAAGAAAAATTTTCATTCCTCTCTCTTTGAAAGTAATGAAGATCTCAAAACTCTCTTTGGTTTCTCAGAAATCAGCTTTCATAGAGAGAATATGACATTTGTATGTATATAAATGTCACTTATATTCAATTATATCCAAAAAATGAACACTGTCAGGGAAGAGTTCAAAGTTTAGGCTAAGTTTAAGGTAATTGGGCTGGAGTTAGGCAGCTCCTCTATGTTCTCTCTGGCTCTGGTTTCTAGGAAGATTTGAAATCCTTAACTGCGTAGGGTGTTTTTCTTGTGGAACCTTTGAGAGCAACCAGTTGGTGAGTAAACTAATAAAATTCCAGTGATTATGTTTTAAGAATCTCTTATTGCTGTCTTGGTGCCTTTTTTTTTTTTTTTTTTTTTTTGATTTTGTTTGACTCCTGAAACAAACCAAACTGAATCTTGGAGGAAGTCCTTCACCTGCAGCCCATTTATCACAACAGTAAAACTTATCCTAGTGTAGGGTGGAAACAAAGCTGTAGCTGACTACTGTGTTAAAGTTCCATAGAAGAAACTTTTAGACATTTTTGGCTTCTTGATTCCTTTAGTTTCCTGGTAACAGAATGAAGTTGAAGCCAGTTGTGAGATAGGGTGGGTTTTTTTGTAGACAGGTCTTTGTTCACTGACGTCCGTGGTTTCCTGGCTTAGGTAGGAGCAGCTGAGCAATTTTCAGATGAGAATGAAGGAAATAATCAGGCCATTCTTTTGTCATCATTTTGCTGTTGTAGTAAAATGTAATTGCAAAAGCAAACTGCTTGAGCAAAACCAGTGTTAGGAAAAAAGGAAGGAACCAGTACATTAAAGATAATTTGGTTCTTAAAAATAGACATGACCTATCTTTCTAAGATGCAGAGCCCACTTTAGAGACATGCCTTAGGCTTTAATGTAGGAATTTTTAGATGAAATTACTGGACTGTGTTATGGGAAGGTCAGACTAGAGGACTATGGTACGTTGCTTTAGTCCTCAAAATATTTAAATATATTCCAGGCTTAGAATTTTTGCTGTTACTTTTAAGAGGGGAGGAAAAGTTTGGGTCTGGAGATAAACCTTTCGTGTGATGTTATTTTCTGTGTTTAACTTGCAGTAATGACAGATGTCTGTATTAGGAGTGAGTAAGAATAGCTGGTTACTGAGTCTTAGTTGTGACAAACCATTTATGTTTTGTAGAACTGTTTTTAAGTTTTCTCACACTCTTTGTTATCTCTCTCCCTCTCCCACCTTACAGAGGTTTCTACTCTGTAACCACATTGATTCAGCCATCAGCAG